TAATTTAATTTTTAAATTTAGCATTTAAATTAAATTTTTAAATTTAGCACGTTTTTTTCAAATTCAAAAATTTTTTCTCTCAGTGTTTTGTTGATTTTTTTTTTGGCAGTTGTTTGTTCGCGCATTTTCTACCATACAAAGCTTGTTCCACAATTTTTTTGTATGGAGAAAATGAGCAAAATCTCCCACAAAGAAACAATTTCCAAAAACCAACGGTAAGCCCTAGCTATTGAAATTTGCACGTAGTTTCGAATGGGCTACAAAACTGCATACTCAGAATATTTCTAAGTAATCTAATTAAAAAGCTGGATATTTTGATGGAACTTTGTTGAATTTTCCTAATTTTTGTACACACTTTGAAATTCTGACTACGCTTTCACAAAAGAATAACAGACATTAACAGGTCTATTCTGCGCTGGTAATAAAAAGTTTGTAACCGGTAAATAAAGTTCCTGCCAATTTTTAAACCCTTTTCGCATTCTGTATACTCTTGTAACCGGTAAATTTTGTTACCATCTCATAAGCTGGTAACAAATTATTGCCCCGTGAAATATGCAATGCCAGGATTTGCACAATTCTTCATAGCTGAATTGCTGAATATTTTAACTGCATTACCAACGTACCTAGAATCGCGGTGACAAGAACTGGTAACATTTTTTGGTAATACAATTTTCCGGTTACAAAATCTGCGGTAACGTGCAGAATAGACCTGTAAATGAACGAAATGGAAATAGCCTATTTATATTTTCGTCACTGTATTTGTATGTACATAAATGTATGACGAGATGTCGCAACTTTAACCGTTTCGAAAGAACAATTTATAGAAAATTTCTCTTTGGAACATACCCAATCGAATTTATACAATATGTAGTGATCTAAAAACTTGCAATATTTGTGACATCTAAAAGAAATCGTAAAAGAGTTTACAGCCAATTTCACAAAAGCAATTTAAGTGAAAAATTATTTTAATTTTTTTTTTTTGAATTTTATATGGAAATTAACAGAAAATAGAAAATCATTTTCCATTTAAATTGCTGGTGAAACCTGCTGTTAGTAGCTGCTTTAGCTGCACTTCACCCAGTCAATTTCGCACACGAGCCCAATTTTTTGTTTTTCACTTGCAGACTAGCGCCTAATACTTTTTTCTCTTTGGAATGGTTTCATTTTTGTTGCAGTACAAAATAAACTAAGTAGTATATCTATAAATTTCAAATTAAAAAATAACTAAACTAAATTAATTATACAAGCACATACAACAACACTACAGGCTCCTCATACCAATGATAATGCTTTGATTTCTTAATTTCTTTAAAAAAAAGCAAAAAAAAATTATTAGTTACTACTTTTTTGCTAGTAGTATTACTCTTTTACTCATAATTAATAGTTTTTTCTTTTAGTTAGTTATTTCACTAAAGAAATTTTCGCAAGTAAACGGCTGCAAATTTAGTACCTGGCATCATTTTTTTGTTTATTGTTTTCAGTTATATGTATGTGTATGAGGTAGTAATGCGGTATTTATTATTATTCGTTTTTTCTTTGCGCATGTTTGCTTAAGCCGTTTCACGTTTCAAAATTTTAAATGTTGTAATTCATTTTTTTCTTTCTTCTAATTATTATTACTGCTCATATTGAAGTAATATTTATGTAAGTAGTGCAAGTTTAAATGGAAAGTACTTGGTAAATTGTACTTTTGCCCTGAGAAAAAGTTCTAGTCCTGTTTTGATTTACCTTAATTTTATTTATGTATGTATGCAGCGCATATCTGTATGTACTATTTATGTATAGTAATGTAGTATATACGCATGTAGTTAATTATGTAACATGTGATTACGTGTTTCGGTATGTATGTATGTACATAATTTCAGCATCGGCTACTCCCTATGTACATATGTATATATTTTATACACGAGTGTATGTATTTCGTTTGGCAAATATGTATGTATGTACTTATGTATGTATTTAGGTATATGTATGTATTTTATGTACTTGTTATATTAGCCACTACATGCATGCGTGTATTTTTATTTATTTTTTTTTTTTTTTGTATTCTCTTTTATCAATGGAATGCTTTTACTGTATATTTTATTTGCATAAGTAGATACTTGTAAACTTAATTAGATATATTTGCTATAGTAAATTCACTTTTTTCCAATTTTTTTTTTTTTTGTTTCAAAATTCTCTTCATATTTTTGAGCAAAGCATTTACCGTTTTGGGCTTTATGCCTGTAATTATGTATGTATGCGTGTTGTGTTTTTCGTTTTTGTGCGTTCTTATCTTTACCACTATATACATATGTATGTAGTAATTAGTTAGTTTTCGTTTTTTTTTTAATTACGTAGCCGCTTTTATTCACCTGTGGAAGCGTACTTTTATGCCTTGCCTTCTACTTAATGCATCACTCACTAAATTTTTGCATAGCTTTTATATGCTTGTCTTTATATTAAATATTTAAATTAACTACAACTGTCACTGTGTCTGTATTGTGTTTTTTTTTCTTAATTTGCAATATTTTTCACTAATAATTTTTTTTTTATATAAAAAAAGATTTTGATTTTTGTCATAGGAACTTTTGATTTTCATTCATCACTCAAGTCGCAAACTCAGTGATAAGATTGCGCGCCCTTAGCTAGCGAAAAGTGTTGCCAGATGGTAGGTTTTTGTATTACAAAGTCTTATATCGGTACTAAGCTATTTTCGGTAATTTAATATGGTTTTTCACTTCGGAGAAGGCTTAATTCAAAAGCGCACTCAGTCTTTTATTGTAGTTTGAAATAATCGCAGGGCCTATGCTAAATATCGGTAATCAAAGTTGTATAGATAATTTTAGCGTTTATGTGTTTATGTATGGAAGTGTTTTAAAGCATCTAAATAGTCAAAAAGTATCTGTATTTTTCTTCACTAAGTCGGTATCACAAATTTTTCGATAATTTTCGAAAATCTCTTTCCTAAACAAAAATCGAGATTTTTCGATCATTATCAACATTTCGCAATCTGAATTTGGTTTGTGTTCCTCAATAATTTTCGAAAATTCTACAGGTTTTGAAAGCATATATGTATTTGGATAAAAATTTTTTCGACAACTGTCGATATTTTTTCCGCAAAATCGACATATTTCAAGAATTATCACAATTGTATTATCAAAATTTTCTGCAATTTACATTTTTGAATTCAGCATTCTTTTACTAGCATTTTCCTGTAGATTTCGAAAGGACTACAAATTTTGGACAACAACGGACTGGTAAATCCAAAATATTCGCTTAATATTCGTATTAAAATTTTTTGGAATTAACGAAATTGTATTTATCGATATTTTTATCAATTTACGTTTTCGAAACTGCCCTTTCGAGTTCAGAGCTCCCCAATAAATAAAAATTGAGATTTTTCAGAACTGTCAATATTTTATTAGATTTCGAAATTTGAATTTTGTTTCCGTTTCTCTATAATCGACGTACATAAATACTACGGGTTTTGAAAAAATAAATATTTTCATTTACCGTTTTTTGGCAACTATCGATATTTTCTGCGCTAAATCGACAAATTTTTGGAAATTATCAATATGGTGTTTATCGAAATTTTTTTCAATTAACATTTTCAAAAAACAAAAAGTTTCCTGTCGAATTCAGCATTCAATAAATTTCGAAAATTGTACAGATTTGGACGAACGTAAGAGTAAGTCCAAAAAGTTTTTGAAATTTTTTGCGCTAAAGCGACCTTTTTTGAAAGTTAGCGAAATGGTATTGAACGATATTTTCATCAAAATTATGTTCTCAGAAAATACCCTTTCCAGTTACATTTGAATTTTTCTGTAGATTTCGAAAACACTACATATTTTGAAAAACGTACTGGTAAATTCCAAACATTTATTGAATATTCGATTTTAAAATGTTTGCCCCAAATTGAAATTTTTCGGGAACTATGAAAGTTTTACCTATCGATATTTTCATCAATTTACATTTCCAAAAGTACCCTTTTAAGTTCAGAGTTTCATTTCAATTTTTCTGTAGATTTCGAAAATACTGCAGGTTTTGAAAAATATGCCGGTAAATCGAAAAATTCTTCTAAATTTTATAACTTTCGATAACTATCGATATCACTTTCGCTAAATCAGCATTTTACATCTTTCGTATTTACTAAAACTTTCATTCAATAACAGTGAAAAGCCTCCGTTTGAAAATATCATAGTTTTAGAAAAAATATGCCTACTGGTAAATTAAAATGTTTTGATAAAAATTCAATTGTCTTATTACATTTTGCAGCATTTATCAATTTTTCATTCCATAAATCGATATTTTTTTCAATCGATCGCGTTTCAATCGAATTTTTTGTTATTTTTTTTGCTTAAAGATTTCTTCAAATAATGTTGATAGTTTACGTGCATTTCGATGCTGCCAAAAATATTTAAAACAAATCTATATTTTTTTGCTTTTTCTGAAGATAAATCTTCAATATTTTGATCAACGTTTATGCATTTAACGATATTTGTTTGAATAAGTTTTCGATAAATACCGGTAGAATTGTGCACATCGAAGCGATCCTGAAATGTTTGATACTTTCAAATGAAATAAACGATTATTTTCCATCTTTCTGCTATGTATCTATTATAAAAATCGTAGATAAAATCTATTGAAACTTTGGAATTAGTCAATTAATTTCTGCCGTATAAGCGAGTTCTACTCGAGTTTTATAAATATTTGTTCCATAATTATCGATATTGTTCGATAATTATCGATACTTTTCAGATAATTATCACCATTTTTCAATTACTATCGGTTTTCGATAGTTATCAATATTTTCTTAGATAAGTCTTTGACATATATTTATCGCGGTCAATATTTATAATAAATCTTTTTCGCGGTCGATCGATTATAAATGTGTGCATCAACGCGATCGACCAATTTTGTTATTTTCCAGTCATTCACAAAAAAAAAAATTCAAAAAAAAAAAATTGCATAAATTACTTTTTCTCTCTATTTCAAATATCGACATTTTCATCTATTGTTTATAAGTCATATACCGTTCATGAGTACAAAACAATTTCATATCTGGCTAATGGCCCCCTGCTTGCAAAACCATCTGGCAACACTTTGCTCAAGCCATGGACGCACACATTACATACATGCCACCCCTCAACCATGACCGCCTTAGGCTGGGGTCAAATTAAAAGACACAGTTACAGGTCCTGAGATGCGTTTCCTAACGGGCAAATAAACAATAGCTGGCACAAACCTGTTACATTGCTCCTCCGCGTCACCGTTCTCAGCGTCTGCCGCCATTGCATCCTTTTCCCGCCGCTGCTGTTGCAATTCCAAGACGAAAGCTTGCATTTGTGGTTCTCCATCAGCCATGTCGACAACCGCAGCGCTGTCTTTTGGCACAGCATACGAAGCTATTTTGCCGCTTTTCTCCGCTAACTGATTGAGCGCATCCTGTTGAGCCGGCATGTTGGCGGCTGTGAGAATGGGTGACGTTGCGATTGTGCGGGTCCTATCCCCTTTCGCATTGACTGCCGCCCTGCTGGCGGTGGCCTCTTTGTGGTTCTCCTTAGCGTCCGCATGCTTAACACTGCGTTGTGCCACTGCATTTTCTTTAGACGACTTGCATTTGCTGCCGCTGCTGCTGCCAGTCGATGTGGTGATGCGTGTTGACAAATTGGTTGGTTCCACACGGCTGCTCTCTGCTGCTTGCACTGCAGCACTGTTAGTTGGCATCAACGGAGCCACTTGAAATTTGTCGTCCGCCACTAATGCGCTACTACTAGTGCTGTCCGCCTTTGATTTGACCTCGTCACGTCCACCTGCTTCGTCTTTTGTACCAGTGCTGCCCATGAATTGGTCGTGTGCGGCGGCAGCGCTCAGGTCACCAGCAACGCCACCACCACCACCGAGCAGCGAATGCGAGCGTTCGTGTATGAATAGAAATGCGTAATAGGGAGTGGTGAAGGGACACATCGTGCACTGATACTCTTGCAGACGCGGCGATTGGAGTGCCTGTTCGGCGACCACACCAAACATGCCAGGTAACATATTCTTGGGCATGTTGCCGAGTAAATGTTGCGCATTTAGGTTTTGCAGAGCTTGAGCAAGATTCGTGGGGTTCGGTAGAAGTCCAGCAGCAGTACTGGCGCTGCTACCTGTACTAGTGCTGCCGCCGCCGCCGCCGCCGCTAGGACCGGAGCTGCCCGAGCCGTTGGGTATTTTGAGCGTGGGGCTAGTAGACTTACACAGCGGGCCGTACTGCTGCTCGATTTCGCGCAGTTTTTCAATGCCCGCCGATCCGTGATCGCTCAGCAAATGACCACGGAGCCACTTGGCGCTGCGGAAGCGGCGCGTACAAATTACACAGACCTCTGTATAATTGGCGTAGTCCGATTTGGAGTCGCCGGAGTTGCCGCTGCCAAAGGGGCTCTGGTTAAGTCCGCGACTGTAGTCATTTTCTGCAGCTGGCAGTTGTGGCTGTTGCTGCGACTGTGGCGGCGGCTGTTGCTGTTGCTGTTGAGCCTCGAAGCTCAACCCGTTCTGGCGTGGTTGCGGCAGCGGTGCGCCCTCCTCAACAATGCCGTGCGTGTTGTGTTTATGCACGCGCAGAAAATATTTGCTGCAAAGCTCCTTGTTGCAGATGTTGCAAACAACGCCACCAATTTGTGCGCCATTCTCGATTTCGATGCCGTGCATGCGTTGCATGTGCGTCTTCATGAAATATTTGTTGCACAGCTCCTTATTGCAGATTTCGCAGTAGCTGCTGGTGGGTGTGATGGTGTAGGGCGGTCGTGAGTTAGTGGCTGCGGCACTCGGGTTTATCGGACGTTCGGGTGTGACAAAACCTTCGCGGAGTGGACTACCTGACAGCAGATGGACTTCGGCGATATGTTGTTTGAATTCTTGTATATTGGCAAAGTCGCGATCGCACTGATTGCAGCGCATCTCGTTGAGCGGTGGTAGAACACCTGGTGAGCCGGATGGCGAGAGTTTGAGCGCTTGTTGGGCCTGCAGCTGTTGCTGCTGCTGAAATAGGTGTTGCTGAAAGTTCAGCGGCAGCGTACTGGCACTGCTATCAAAGAGACCAGCGTGTTCGGTTACAATGTGTGCTTGTAGCGTATATTGGTTCTCCATTTCCCTGCCGCAGAGGTGACAGCCCAACGAACGTTTGCCATTCAAGTCATTGAGTTGTTGTATCATTGATTGGAGCTTTTGGAGATTTTGCAAACCCGCCACAGCCTCAGGGCTAGCCGGCATATTGGCACCCGAATTGTAGGATTCTGCTAAAATCTTTTGTGGCTCTGGCGTAGATGGCATGCTATTACTAGCCGCCTGCTGTGACGGTTGCTCAGCAGATTGACGACCGGAGGAGCACTTATTCTCTTGATTTTCGTCATTACCGCGTGATATGTCCTCGTCCACTTGCTCGAGCTTGATGCGTTTGGCCATGTGCTGATTCGTCTCATCCACGCTGGCATTGGCTGTGGCGGAAGTAGCTGCATTGGCGGCCGCAAACATGCGTTGTGCCATAAGCGCCTTGTCGCCGGCCATCATCAAGTTCAGCGGCATGCCCGGCAGACCCATGAATGGCCATGACATCTTCTGCGTCAGCTGCAGTTGCTCATCCTTCACGTCGTCTGGTGGCACAAATATGCCGTGACGCTTCCATTTGTGCGTACGCAGGAAATACTTGTTGCAGTATTCTTTGCAACAGATTTCGCAGAAAGCTTCCGGATTGAGCACGCCAAGCCGACGTAGCTTATCGTGTGCGAAGTTGGCATCACGCGCCTGCTGTTGCGATTGCGGCGATAGTTTGCGTGGTTGTGGCGTGAAAGCCACTTCCTCTTGTTCGAGCGTGAAGTCCTGCCGAAAGCCGTCGGGCATTTGGAACTGTTTACCAGCACCAGAACTAGCAGCATCTGTGACCACCGATTCATGTTTCGTTTCATTTTGTGCAGCAGCGGCTGTATCTGACTTCGCTGTGGACTGGGGTGGCTGCGGTGGTGGCGTCGGTATCGGCTGCTCGCCACCAGGGCTGTTACGCGGTAGCTGTTCGTGCGATTTGGCGCGATGACGACGCATGGCGAAGACATTGGTGAAACGTTTTGAGCAAATGTCGCAATACACCGGCGGCGGTGCGGGCGGTGTAAGTTGTTGTGCGGTTGCGCTGTTGGCTGCTTGTGCGCTGAGTTGCTTCTGCTGAACCTCTTCCAAGGCCAGTTGTTGTTTCTGCTGCAATTGTTGCATGCTGTGCTGCTGCTGCTGTTGCTGTTGTTGCTGTTGTTGCATTTGAAGTTGTAACATTTGCGTCATGGCATTCATATTCCCACCAGCCGCAGCGCTGTTGCCGCACTCGCCGCTGCCCGAAACGGCCGGATCGTAGATGCCATGCTTGTTGGCCTTGTGCGTCTTGAGGAAGTATTTGTTGCAGAATTCTTTGTTGCAGAGATCGCAATAAGCTTCGGGATTGAAAATGCGCAACGGCGGACGATTTAACCCGTCGACGCTGGGGAAGCCAGGCATGCCAAGGAGTGGCAGATAGCCGCTGGCTGAGAGCGCAGCAGCAGCAGCAGCCTCCGGTGGAAAGGGGAAACCCATGCCCGGCATTGCGTGCAACCAGGGTTCTTTGCCATTTGTCAGCAGGCTGGGTGTAGAGCTCTCATTTTTGTTGCTCGAGGCGGCGGCAGGTGGAGACGTAGAGTTGTCATAGTCGGGACGCTCGATTTTTACGTTCACTGCGCCAAGCATATCGTATGGCATGTGCTCCGCCTTTTGTTGTGCATCCTCCACAGCGCCGCCAATGCTACCCTGCTCCAGCTCATCATTCTGATGTTCCTGCAGCATATGCAAGCCAAGCTTAAATTCGGTTTCAAAGTTCTCGCCACATGTTTTGCAGAACGTGTGATAAGGGTTCTGCCGCTCATCGGCTGATGCCTGTAGCTCTGTGGCTTTCTGCTCACTCACTTCTTCGGCGTTGCAAATTTTCGCCTCCAAATGCGCCTCTCTTTTCGGTATAATTTCGTGGGGCGTCGAAAGATTCGATCCGTCGCGTACCTCGCCCGCATCTGGTGATATGTCTCCAAATTGCTGTTGCCTTTGCTGCTGCAACATTTCAAACGTTTCCTTCAGCTGTTCCATTGACTTTGGTAAGAACATTTTCGATAATTTCTCTTCGTAATCTATTGGCAGTGTTGTTGGTGGTGGCTTATCTGCAATTATGGCTTCTGCAGTCGCATTGATTAGCGCCCCTTCATTGGCCTCGTTTAGCTGTAGTGCTGCCGCGGCGGCTGCTGCTGCTGCCTGCGCCCCCAAACGACTGGGATTATTTTGTTTGCGTCTCTTCTTTGCAGCATCGTTGAGCGCCTCCAACAATTGCAGCTGCATGGCTGCTGCATTAGCTGCCGCTGCTACGGCCGCTATTGTGGCAGCTGAGGCGCTTTCTGTTGGCGATGATGTCGTTGACATGTCGGCGTCATCGTCAATTACCCCTTCATCTCGTATTGTTGTACTATCAATGGCCTCCTCAACTGTAATTGCGGCACTTGTAGTGATGCCGCCGTTAGACGCTTTTGGTGATGCGCTAGTGCAGCGTTTTGGCGACTGCTGATCAACTTGGCTTGCACCACCACCACCACCACCACCACTGCCGGCTAGGACTTCGGAAATTGTGCGTTTTTGTTTATTTGCTACTGGATTTGTTCTGGTTGTGTTGTTGTTGCTGGTAGTTGTGCTGTTGTTGTAGTTTGTGTTGCTGTTAGTAGTGTTGCTGTTGCTGTTGTTGCTACTGCGATTATTTAGCGAAGATGCATTCGAGACATCGGAAAGTGCTGTGTCCTCACTGCTTAAGTCTGGCGGTGGGGTAGCATAAATAGATGCGGCCATTTTTGTTATTACTGTTGGGAAATAAGTAAATAGAAGGGGATAAAATTAGTTGGTAATTAGAGAGGTTTTATCATCATTGTGAGTGCAACTAATATACTTTAAATATTTAATGTTTGCAATTAAAAATCTAAATAAATCCTGCGTGGAGGTATAAGACATAAACATGCACATAAATAAAAGTGCATATACAAAAATTAAATAAAAATGTTAACTGTAAGATATGCAATTGATTAAAGTAAATAAATATTCATACTAAAATTTGTTATAAAAAGTTTGCTCTATGTATTATTTTTTGAGGTTCCGAATTGGCCGGGATCCCGAAAAATTTTACACATTGAATTATTAGTAAGAACTTGTGTACGAATTTGAAGTATGATTTTTGTAAAACGCCATTTTGACAACAATTAACAAAAAGCTTGAAACTGAACATTTAAAATTGCAGCCTGAGCCTTTTTTTGTAGAAGATTTAAAAGAATGTTACTGGGAGTTTACACAGAAAATTAGACTTTGCTTTTGCTGATTTATATTTCATAGTTGCAGTTAAGCAATTTGTAGACAGACCCCTTTCAAAACTTTACTGCTTTCGGTGGACCCCTGATGCTCATTTCTAACATATTCCCAAAGCTCATAAAAAAGTGTGAAGATTAAATCTAATGATGTAAATTTGCATTGCGGGTGAGTTCCAAATCCTAATTTGGACTGACAGAAATAAAAATAAAATATATTTTTGCGTTCTATTTATTAAAATAATGTGATAACATACTTGCAAGTTTTAAAAAACAGAGCTCGTAAAGCCATGAAAGAACTATCTCTCTCTGAGGAGTTATATGTTTTTAAGAAGCACTAAATAAACTCCTCACATATTTGGCTCACTCATTAATTTGCATGTGACGTATTTGTCAAATAGTTTATTTGTGTTGATGGCATCATGGCCAACGTAGACCCCCATATTTTTTTTTCACGCCAACGTAGACCCCAAATATTTTTTTCACACCAACGTAGACCCCCATATTTTTTTCACGCCAACGTAGACCCATGTCGAGTCTCCCGTGGACCACTTTGGGAATCGCTGTCTTAGAGGCCCATATAAGGCGGCTGCACTGAACAGTTGCTCACTTGGAATGCTGGCGGGCGGAGCGCTCAAATATTTGCGGGCCAGATCTGTCAACTTGTCGTATTTTAATTTAGTTTTCCACCGATCGACAGGATTTTCACCGAGATGAGCTCGTTCTTCTTTAAGATAGGCCTTCAATTGAGCTTTAATTTCACATTTTTTAATGTCTCCAGATTTTACATCCGAAAACGTCAATTTATAAAGCTCTTTAAACCTACTTTATTTTTTATGAATAAGGCCATTAATTTGTATCAGTATTTTTCTTTTAATCAGTCTATGTACATATGTATTTTGAAATAAAAGGAAAAATAAAAAAAATATTTTGTCAGAGTTTGCTTCCCTGATGTGGACGGTCCTTTATGGATTATGAACGATATTAAGTTTTTTTCGTCAAAATTTGAAATTAGACTACTGTGTCTTATAATGGCTTAGCTAGATAATTTTTAATCAAGGTTATGGCGTTTTTAAACAAAGTTTGCTCATTAGCAAATATATTTGCTTTGGCAAAAGCTACGTTAAACGCTTAAATGTTCAGTGTCGATAAGCCTCTATCGCATGGTGAGTAGGGGTATAGGGGAGCACGAAAAATTCAAACTATTTATCTGCATAAATTTAATACAGCCACCCAACCCACTTTTATGCAACTCAATTCTGTTGCTAGTCTTTACGCATTACTTAGAATCGACAACACGCACATGCACATGCGTACGCAAAAATCGAAAAAAAAAACACGCACATGCACTAATACTAATAATAATACGCGTATGTATGCATGTGCGTAAGCATTTCACAAGCCAAAATTATTGTCTGTGACGAGCTTCTATTTTCATTTTTCTCCATATTATTTCATTTCTTTTCATTTTTCTGCAAATTCTATGAAAAATATTCCATTATACATAATTCTCCGTCTACATATGTATATATCTATGTATGCACATCTCTTAGCAATACAGCGTTGTGAAACGTGCGTTACTAGCACACACACGCACAAAATATGTAGATATGTACTTGTACATACTCGTTCGATCATACAATGGAGAAGTTAAATAGTAGCGCAAGTAGCAGCAACAGCAAAATACACAAATTTATACAAAGTCATCCGATTTAAGGAATACAAATTTTCCTTATTTTGTATTTTTCTATCTTCTTTTCATTTCGTAAGCTACCACGTCTCCAGCGCCCCTACTCCACTCTTTCTTGCTATACAACATTATGCCATACATACAAACATGCCGCCCTCACATTACCTACTATATACGTAGTACTCATAGACACACACACATATGTACATGCAAACTACCCCCACCCACCATACATCAACTGCCACATCTACAGCGCATATAAAACTTATAAAAATTTTCTTCAACATGACTTGGCAAAATAAATTTCATTCTTAAGAAGAAGAAAAAAAGTGAGAAAAAAGTAGTGAAAATGCAGGCAATCGTTGGACGTTTACGTCGCTGGCAGGCTGCAAAAAGGGATGAGAAGGGACAAAAAAAAACAAAAATTCTCAACTATGCTGAAAACATAAATTAAGTTTCCATGCTTGAAATTGGTTGGCTGGCACAAGCTATGCACATACAATACATAGTTTGGCTGACTAGTTGGCTGGCTGCTTGGCTGAAAGGCTGGCTGACGAACTGGCTGCTTGGTTGCCTCCTGCACGCTTGGTTGGGCCGACTTGACTTTCGTTTTTGCTAAGAGACGCTCACTATGTGCACATGTATGTATGTATGTAGCTAGTTGAAAGGATACATATGTATGTACATTAGACCGCATCACTCCCCATACGAAAAAAAAATCGGTACTGTGTTTCCATTGGAATTATAAAATCTATTATATTTTAAGACGCCCACCAAAATATTTTGGAAAAATATTAAGATTTACGTGAGCTGGATCGATTTGAATATACCTCCAAAAATTGAGTTTTTTTTTATGAATAAAAATAGTTTCTTCATTTTTTTTTAAATATCCTCAAACGACAAAACGGTTTAAGCTTTAAATTTTGCATTAAAATATTTTTAAAAAATTTAAAAAAATGTTGAACGGAATAATCAGTTTTTTGATGCCGTTTTTTTGAATTTTTTTCAGAGATTGGTAGAAGAAAAACTTGAATAACTGAACCTAAACCCTTCCGATTAAGTCTTGTGAGGTGTCATTGGAAAGGTATTTTCGCACCCTTTTTATTTCTTTGCTAATAAACTCATTAAAGGGATGAAAGAAAAAGGTAGGATGAACAAACGTCATTCAAAGTTGAATTAAGATGTGTTGGTATTTGAAAAAAAAAATTGGGACACGAATGACTTTTTCTTCTTTTTGGACAGAAATAAAAACAGTGGAAAAATACCTTTCTACTGAGATCCCATAAGTCTAAACCAGAATAGTTTTGGCCCAGTTATTCAAGATTTTCGTAAATCAATCTTTGCAAAAAGTAAAAAAAACCAGGATCAAAAATCTCATTATTACGATTCCGTTGTAAAGATTTTTTAATATTTTTATGCAGATTTTTTAAGCTTAATCTGTTTTGTCATCTGAGGGGACTTTTTTTTAAGTTCTTTAAGAAACTATTTTTATTCATAAAAACTCCATTTTTGGAAGTATTTTCAAATCGGCCCAGCTCACTTAAATCTTAATATTATTCCGAAATATTTTGGTGGATATCTTAAAATATAATACACTTTGTAATCCCGGCGGAAAAACTGCAGCTTTTTTGGTGATGCAGACTAATGTGCATATATTAGGGTGCCCATCGAAAAACCACTTTTTTGCTAAAGAGCGATTGTATATATCGATTTAAAAAAAAAAAATATTGAGTAATTCCTTAGCCACACTGCTCAAAAAATCTTAAAGTCCGGTACATAAATTCTAGGCTGTAATTAAGAAAATTTGCCTAACTTCGACAATTTTATGCGATTGCAATAAATAAAGTATCAGTTTATTTGAAAATAGATTTAATTTTTGATAGTAGTACATATTTTGAAATTGTGGAAATAAATGTTGGTCAAAATTAAAAAAAAAAGAAAATCGTTTTTTTTTTTAAATTGCCCAATGAAAAATTCCGACTATCCAAGTCTAATAAAGATTGCTATACACCATTTTAAAGGCCTATAAATTAGGGGAAAGGGTCTTTTGAAAATTCAAAAAAAAAATTCGTTGGACACCCTAATGTATATACATATGTATGTATGCATGAAGGAGTGCAAGGCATTCGGTATGTTTTACGTAAGTGTTGTTGCTGCTGCTGTTGCAGATATGCCGAATTTAAGTTCGCTGTGGGCGTTGGGCGGCAATTGTAGCGCTTTGACTGAACTTACAACCCCCCTCAACAAACGATGCGGGCCGTCAAAGCCCAGTAGCACACAATATTAACAAACAAGCGCGCGTGTGTGTGTGTGTATGTGCATAGGTAACTGATTACTGCTTTACTCAATTCACATCGTCATAAGCTTCTAACATCTCTTGCTCTTCTTTCATCGTCTTATTTTATTTTGTATTTATATAGACTATTTTTTCATCTCCTACCTACTACAATACTTTATTACCGATTCGCCAATGAATTTAACGTAAAATGCAAACGAAAACAAAAAAGAAAATCTCAAAGAAATAGAAAATTGAACGAAAAATTCCTTAATGAAAATGGCTGCAATGTAAACAGTATACACATCTATTTCAACAGCTTCAGGTAATTGGTTGGGTGGGCGGGTGTCAAAGTGGGTGGTCGAAGAAAGCACGAAGAACATGGTATGTACTAAGTGGCTACATATTTGGTTATGTGGTGAAGTGACTGGTAGACAAATAAAATGTACAAAAAAAAAACGAAAACTCTGTGCTACATGAGTTGTACTATGTTTGGAAGCTGCTGTGAAACGGTTCAACGCCTAAATGT